TCGAACGAATTTTAATCAGCCTACTTTTGTATAATGGACTGGACAATTTCGAGATGATCTAACGAAACACAAAAGGATAAATGCTGCGAAGAGGATTGTCGATCGGGAGCAAATTTAATTTTTTTTTTTTTTTGAATACTTTTTGATTATTTTTTACTAAAATTAATTTAACACTTTTATAAATTTAACACGAATTATTTATTGATTGATTTTTGACGAAATTTCGTGAAGATTGAATTAAAAGGATTAATTAAATAAATTATAATGGGAGTAATTTTTCCTAAACGTGGATAAATTAGTTTTTTAAATTACAGGTAACAAGGGACGGATTATGATGGAGTAGAAAAGCTGGGATTCACGATTCTTCTTAATTGGGTTCATCGACGTTCCAATTATGATCCTAAGTATGAGACTCTGTCAGCCATGCGGCCATGATTTATGATCCCATTGTTTGCAAGAATTTAACCGAGAAATTGGCGTTATCGAGCTTCACGTTGCCTTGTCTCCTCAATGGAGAGTGATTTTATAATCCATAAGATTATTTATACGTGGATCTTAATCTTTTCAATTATCGATCAAACTCCTTTGAAGAGAAGAAAATAAAATGAAGAAAAACTTGCTCGAGTATCATAATAGAATTATAAAAATTGAAAATATTGAAAATAATTAAAAATGATCCACTTCAATGTTTCAATTCGTTTTCGATTAACTCTCAAGTTTTAAAATAAACAGATGTATTAAAAAAATTTCTTCCTCTTTGTTAAAAGTAATTAAATATAGTTTAAATGAAAAAGTTATGAAACTGTAAAGGAAAGAAAGCATAAATCTGACTCTATCTCCATATTTTGAACCTTAATTTATCCAAAACCATCTATCATCTATTCAACTCTTAAAGTTTAAAGTTTCTAAATTCACAATGAAACTAATTATCATTTTTATTCACAATCATTTATCATCCAATCAAGTCCAAGATATAAATCTATTTTTTAATTCTAATTAAAAATGAGTTACTATTATAATTAGATGCCATCATAAATTATATATACAAAATACACTAATTAAGAAAAGAAAAAAGATTCTTCTTATTGCAAGATTTAATTATTATATAATCATAATGAATATAGTCCATTCCTAAATGTATTAAAATAAAAATTTCCAATATTCCAATTTATTTCTGATCAATATCCAAAATCAAATTTTAATCTTAATAAATAATAATTCAGCTCTTTCTTAAAATTATATTACATCCTAAAATTAAAAAATGACATTATAGAGAAAGAAAAGGAACATAAAATGAATTTTATCCCATATCTTATCTTAATTACCCATTCATTCATCTAATCACCTCCTATAACCTAAATTCTACCACATTTATACAAAACCATTTATCATCTAATTTTATCTCAAAATTTAATTTCCAATTCTCTTAAAAAATGATTAAAAATAATTCTAACATCTTTATAATTCAATTAATTCTCGATCAACCAATTGAAATTTCTAATTCTATTGATAATTATAAAAAATAATTATAAAAATAACCCATTTTCAATAATTCAATTTATTCCTAATCAATCCCTTAAGACTAAATTTCAATCTCAAAAAACAAATACACATAAGATAAAAAAAAAAAATCTCTTACCACTTACCACACATCCTGAACAAGAAAAAAATAAAAATACCCCAATATTTTACACCTTAACCATCCATCATCCAATCAACCCTCCAAGGCTTCAAATTCTAACTCTCATAACACAAGCTCATCCCCAACCTTCATTCTTCTTTAATCCAGCCAACAACCCCTTAATTACTTCACTAGTAATTCCGGGCGCTGAATTTGCCTGTTTTTCACCATGTGCGAAAATTTCGTGGAATTTGTAACAGCGTGCACACAGAAACTCGCATATTTGCGCGGCCATATTTTTCCCACCCCCTCCCCCTCCCTTCGAACGCGGATGTAGTAGTCTCGACGCTAGTGGCGTGGGTCCAAATTTTAACGCAGCTTCTTTTTCATCGCTCGTTGAAACGTATCTATGATATGCATATTTTGCGGCCACGTTTTATCCGTCCACTTTTTTATGCATGCTTTATGTATTTTTTTTTTCGACGCAATACGCGTAAATTCACAGCCTCTGCAAATAGATATTTCAGTTGGATGCATTTGCATTTTTTTAATACCATCTCTCTTTCCATTCCTTCTGGAAGGAATGTCACGATTCTGGAATTCGTGAATTTTTTAACATCTTTGCTTTTATTTTTTTAATGTTCACTGTGTGGTTTATAGAGTGTTACAGATATATTCTGGTGGAGTATATCGATTATGAGTGTGGAGCAAATAAATATTAACTATTTAAGAAAATGTCTCCCCTCAAAAAAAATATATCAATTAAAATGTATTAATTAATTTTATTAATTTTTTTTTCAATATGGAAGGATTTTCGTTTGGAAAATGGTAAATATATTGTAATTTTTATATAAATAAAAATTTCAACAATTTTCCTTTCTTATCTTTTTCATTAGAGAAATTAAAGTAAATACTGGAAAAAATAATATACAATAATCACAATAAAAAGTTTGCACATATAAGACATCTTTTCCCACAGTTTTACGTTTCATAGTATCGAATTATAAATTATTAAAAACGATAAGAAATCTAATCTCACTTGTATTTAATTATATCTTAATTTATTAATAAATTATTACACGCGTTCAAAAACACAATTTAGAATTCATAATTCGTAAAAATAAGAGCAGAGATATAATTTTTTTTTTTTTTTTTTACTTGAGGAAAATTTATTTAAAATCAAAAAAATAAACGATACAGGGTAAATAACTACCCTCCTCTTCCACCCTCCATATTCATACGCACCATAAAATTAAAAAAAAAAAAATAGTGGAGGCCAGGTTCGCAATTACGTATCATCATCCATTTATTCAAAGCTTGCACCGTTCACCGAAATTTCGATAAGTTAAAAAATTATTTGGAAAAAACTCTCGTTTAAATTCACTCTGCATGCATTTAATATGACGAGTCTTAATGTTGAAGTGAAAAAAGAAATCGTCGAGGAAGAAAGATGAAGTCTCGATCATTTGAGGATCGATTATAAAAAAGTTCACGATTTCTTTTCCCTCTTTTTTCTTTCTTTCTGGTATAATTAGTGGAGGGAATTCTGCGAGAAATAGAAAATCGTCGGATTGATCTGGTTTTGTGATTAATTAGGGTTCGTTTGATGGAAATGAAAAATTTCCCTCTGAGGGAATTTGATTCAGAAGTTTGGATAAGGATTCTGATCAAATAATTGAAAGAAAGGAAACAAAAAATGAAGCAATGGAGGGAATTGTTGGTGAGAATTTTGTTTGTAAAAATATTATTGTGGAATTATTAATTTTCAAGATATGTTGATTTAATTTATATTCTATATTTTATATAGAGAGAAGACTTTGGATAGTTATTTTATTATATAAAATATGGAATATAGATGAAAATTGAAGTTATTGTTAATAAATTCAAATGTATTTTTGAAATTTTATCATTTCTTTTCAACTAATTTCAGAATTTCATTTTCAATTTCAGAATAATTTCAATTTCAGAATAAAATACTAAATTTAAGTTTTTAAACTAAATTACATTTATATCTTCATTATTTCTTATTATATCTTATATTTATATCTTCATTATATCTTCATCATAATTCTTTCATTACAGCTTTTACTCTAATCTTTATAGAAATTTATTTTTATCATTCATTGTTTAGATTAGATTAAACTTATTTATTTATTTTTTTTTTTTTTACAAATAATTACATCTATACAATATATACAAAATTATTATATATAAATTTCACCATTTTTTTAATTCTCTCTCTGCTTAATTTCTTTTTCTCCAAAAATTATTTATTTCTACAAAGTTTCCTCGAAACGAAAAATTAAAATCATCATAAGCTTATAAAAAATCGAATTATCTATATAGCAACTACAAAAAATTCTGTCATAGAAAAAAGAAAATAAAGGTGAAAAATCAGGATATGCGTTCTACCATCGATTGTCGACATTTCCAGCCACACAGGATGCGGTGAATGTCGAAAGATGTAACAAAACCTGGAACGTGTCGAATAACAAAGGATCGACGACAATACCGTCATCAAGTCTCTTCCATAAGAAACAACGTGGTTTCGATAAACGAGCTGTTTGAATCCGAACATAGGGCGGAAAATTAATTTTCCTGTTTTGGCTGCTCGTTCCTTCCAGAAAGCAACCCTTTCATCAACTAATTAGCAGACACGACCCGATTTTCCAAATCACTTTCGACACGCAGCGCATCGTGATTTTTGTGAGAATTTTTATTATTCTTTTTTTCTTGTTTAATTTTCGTTAAGATTGGATTATTTCTCAAATTAAATAATAATCAATTTATGCAGAATTATAAATATTGATAAATTTTGAATTTTGTGAGAATTTTTATTATTTTTTTCCTTGTTTAATTTTCATTAAGATTGGATTATTTCTCAAGTTATAATAATAATTAATTTATGCGGAATTACAAATATATTGATAAATTTTGAATTTTGTAAGAATTTTTATTATTTTTTTCCTTGTTTAATTTTCGTTAAAATTGGATTATTTTTCAAGTTATAATAATAATCAATTTATGCAGAATTACAACTATATTGATAAATTTTGAATTTTATGAGAGTAAAAAATTTTTAGAGTGTTGTTAAATAGAATTTTTATAAATAATATATATATAAAATATAATAATAACAATAAATATATAAATTAATAAATAGTAAATTAATAAATTAATAAATTAATAAATAATATTAATAAATATATAAAATATATAATAATAAAATATTTATTATGTATGAAAAATAAATGAATGTTAATAATCGAAATATGTCACGATACATTCATATGTGACACAATATATGCAATAAATTACTCGTTTAAAGTAAAAAAAAAAAATATATAAGATTCTAAAACAGAATTAAAGGGGCACTTACCTGGCTCGATTGAGTATATCGAATGTATTAAGATCCTCCACATCGAAAGGTTTGTCCTCGAGTTCTGAACGAGAGATGGGACAGACATCCTTGAACATCAAATAGCTCTGAAGATAACTTAGCAAATAAACAGGCAGTGCTGCGCCCTCCTCGGGCACCATGGCCAATCGTCTGGCCACTTGTTCCACCTGAAACCCAGTTTCCACTTCGTAAATTCTCACTCGCCATTCGAATAACACTTTGCAGTAAAGTTTATAATCCTATGGGCGAACGAAAATTTCGCGAAATAAAAAAAAACTTTGCTCGAGTTCAATTCCTTTTCGATTTTGTTTTATTAGCAAGATGGTGGAAACAAAGGAATGTAAAGAATTTGAAGAGAATAATGAACTTTTTTCCAAGATGGACAAATGAAAATCTTTTGATTGATTAATAATAATAATTGGAAGGAATAAAAATGTTTGCAAAAAAGATTTTCAAAAAAGAGTATTATAATTAAATATAATGAATTTTCAGAACGGAATTCTTTTAAATTAATTAAATTATTAATATTATTTATATTGTAAGAACTTTTAAGAAAAGTGGAGAATATTCTCCATTCAAAATGGAGAATTTTTGGTCGTGAAATGGTTAATAATAATATTCAAAGGAGTGAAAATCTCTTTTAAATTAAGATAAAAATAATAAAATAGCAGAGATTAAGAGTTGGGATAAAAATAAGAAAGATTTGAAATTTAAGAAGAAAAATCTGAGAAAGAGATGAGGATGAGAAATATTAGATTGAAGATTTGTATAATCTTTTATAAATGTTTAAAGAGTAAATGTTAAAGGATAAAAAACTTCATAAAAAGAATAGTGAAACTGCTTTCCAAGTATAAAAATTTCTTGGCTGTGAAATTAATTATTAATTATAATGTTCAAAGAAATAAAATTATTTAAAGATCTTGCTAAAAATTTTAAAAATAATAAAATAAGGAACGAAAGTGACAAATACATAATACTTTTTACACGGTATAATTTTACATTTTCCAAAAAATGAAATATAAAGGATAAAAGCTTTAAGAAACGATTGAGAAAAATTCGAAAAGGGACAGAGATGAAAATTTCGAGCAACTTTCCTCGAAGAAGAGTACTCCTCCTCGAAGGAAGGATTTTGAGGAAAGGATGTAAAAAATTCCAACTGTAGAGACTGATAAATATTTACAGATATTTACACGATTTATCGAAGCAGTGAAATATGGATGATGAAGCTTCAAGACTATAAAAAATTTCTAAAAGGTGCGATGAAAAATTTTCAATCTTCGCGCGTGACACTTAATATTTCTAAAAACTTGAGGGAAAAACTTGAGGAATAGAGAAGAATGGTGAAAAAAAAAAATTTTTTTTCAAAGAGGTACAGTAAATAATGATAAATATTTTTAGATGCTTTTGTGATGACGTTCATGACGTAGGATTGGTCAATGTAAAACCCTTACCTTGAGGAACCTTTCACGAAGAATGTCCTCCGGGAATACTCCCCTCTTCGCAGCTTCCACAGGAATGCCTTTAATAGCAGCCATCACCAGAGGATCTTCTTTCGCTAAGGAAAACAAAAAGAAGAAAGCTATTAACGAATTTTCCAGGATAATGTCTCTCTCTTCTTTATTTTTTTTTGTCAAAAAAATTGTTCTCGATGATTGAAATTTAAAATTATTTATTCTATATATATTTTTAATTTACTCTGTATATTTTTACTCTATATATTTTTCTGTTTTTTTTTTTTTTTTTTTTTTTTGCCAAAAGTAAACAGCGATTAGTCGATGTAATTAAAATTATATCCTTTTTTATTCCTTTAAAAGTTAAAAGTTCGTTAATTAATATTAATTAAAAATTTGAAATTCTTCATTTCCTTTTTTTTTTCTGTCTCGATTATCAGTATATTTTTTCAGAGAATATATTTTTATATTGTATAGTAATCAGGATATGTGCATCATTATTAACTTGATGAATGAAATTTCGTAAAAAGGTTGGACAAAAATGTTCCCGTTAAAAACTATCAATTTGAATTTCAAAATTTTTTAATCCCACCTTCAATTTCGAAGATTCAAACTCCACAATTTATATTCTATTAAAAAATAAAAACCTACCCTTCGTGCTAAATATTAAAGGTCACTACTTTCCAAACTAAACTTTACCATTTACAATGAAAAAAGAGTATCTTACTATTAAAATCCGAACGAAACCGTATTCCTCTACCCTTCTCAAAACTAAACTGGATAAATTAATCAGATTTAAAAGATTAGAGAATTTAAAAAAAAAGAAATTAAATTATTATTTTAATTATATCAATTTCCAAATAGTGAATTAATTAATCGGTCGAATTAAAAATTTCAATCGATTAATAACCCCCTCTTTTTCTGAATGTTTACCCTAAAATGGTCGAGATTAAAAGGATATTGGCGAATTAAGCCGGTTTATTCGTGTAATTAACAGAAACGGGGGAAGGGAGGGAAGGGGAGAAAGAGGGGAGGGATTAACCGTTGAAAGAGAGCGATATTATCGTCGTTATTTAACGAGAGCGAAATTCCCAGTGGAAAATTGATTAACATCGAGTTAACGCAATCCTCTATATCCCCTCCATAACCTACTCCTCCCCCCCCCCCACCACTCCTTTTTCAACAAATCGCATTACACACCAGATGCCGTTACTTCGGTGGAAATACATTACTTTGCAATTTTGTTGAAAATTCTCCTCGGCCCGGAAACTCGGTGATAAATGGGCCGAGTGGTGAAGTTCGAGCCTCACCTTTTCCGAGGACCGTGCCTAAAATTTATTCGTTCGGTTGGGATACGTGTCCTGTAATATCGGCGCTGCGGTGAACTTGTGTCTCTCCTTCCATTCCGCTACGCGATATATTGCGATCATATAGAAAGAAGTAAGTAACTGTTATATTTAATGTTTTGTATTATATATTATAAATATATAATGCTGATTGAATTTTTCTTTCTTTCTTTCTTTTTTTTTTTTAATATGTGTTTATAACACATTGATTTTTGCCATTAAAATATTTAAATGAGATTAGATCTTTTCTAGATATATTTCGTTTTGGTTTTGGTAAGTAGTTGAATTTGCAGCAATTGCCTCCCAAGAAAAATTTAAGACAATTTTATACTATATTAAATTAATCTTCTTTTTATCTTTTACCAGACAGGAAAAAAAATATAAAAATAATAATGTTAATAATAATAATTGTATATTAGATTAAATTAACTGTTAATAGTAATTTATTTTATTCTAATTGGTTTAGAGATTTTTTTATAAATACTTTATCGAATAATTGTATAATTAAAACAAATTGGTTCTTCAAAAATTGCAAAATTTTGAAATTCACTAATAAAAAAAAAAAGTCACGTATAAAAAATTATATATCAAAATAAATTTTTAAAATCTCTCGATAATTTATAACACAATATTACCTTTCAATAATTTTGAACCAATTTCAAACCATTCTACTTTATCGACAATTCGATTTAACCGAACGAGCAGATTTTTCCATAAGCCAGTCAGCTATTTAATTTGGTTAATGAATTTTCGCGACATTACCATCCGGACGAATATTCATTGGATTTCGAGAACAAGTAGTAATTGTATTTACGCGTTTTATTTCAAAGATTAAAAATAAAAAAAAAAAAAAGATGAAGAAAAAATAAAGAAAAAATATCTCTATTACAAATCTATTGGATCCATGCTTTAAAAAAAAAAAGAGAGAGAGAAAAAGAAAGAAATGAGAGAGGATATTAAAAAATAGAAATCAAAATAAAAGAAAATAAGAACAAAATTGGGATAAGTTTCGAGGCTGAAATTCAATTTTATCGTCTCGAATGTTAAAATAATATCTCTAAGGATAATAATTGCTGGTTAATTGTCGACGATAACAGCGTGGAAATGGCGAGATCAGAGGTTTCGGACGATTTCATGGTAATTTTAACGCGTTATTATTTCACGTGGACGTTTAATCATTGCATAAATCTTCGTGGGCTGCGTTCGAATGTCTGGTAATACATTCGTGACAAATTTACGACTCGTGAGACTGTCAAATTTGGAAATTTTGTGGGTAATTTCGAAAAATACGCGTTCATTGGATATTTTATTGTAATTTTGATTTACGAACGTTTAAAATATCATAATTCTTGGAATAATTATTGGTTAGTTAAATAAATTTTTTTTTCACTAATTTTAATATGCGGTTCTATTTTAATAATTTTCTAAATGAAATTGATTATTAGTTAAAAATACATAATACACATAATATAATCGAGAAATTAGTACGGAGAAATTAATTTTCATTAATGACTAATCATTGTTCATTTATCATTTAAACTCATTAGAATTAATAATTAAATGCATTATCGAAGAGCCTCATTGAAAGAGGAAAATTAACTACGATATTAAATTGACAATAAAGAATCTTCAGTGGTATAATCATGTATAAATTTCTGTTTTCCAAATTACAAATTGTCCATTGAATAATAAGTTATAAAATAAAATAAAATAAAAAAATAAATAAATAAAATGAAAGGAATACAATTTTTAATCCAGCATTGCCATCAGAATCAATTTACTAAAGTGCACGTGCAAATAAAATCCGTCAAAATTTCTGCACAATTTATTCCCAATAATCCTCAACAATTCATCACAAACTCCATCTCAATCCATCCTTTCTAACTTTTCAGTGAAATAACCTCGATTAAAATTTCCAATTAAGAAAAAAAAAAAAAATAAATAAATAAAATAACAAAATAAGATAAAATATTAAAATTTCAGTCTTCCCTGATATATCAGAGAGTAAAGTTCAATTATTATTTTTATGATAGAAAAATATCATTTATAAAATCTGTGCAACTCTTTTCTATTATTATAGATATAATTTCAAATATAATTTGGAAAAGTTAAAAATTATACGTTTGAAATATATTAAAAAATAAATTATATTAAATTTTACAAAATTCTACCAATTTAATTCTATAATTTATAATTATAAATACAACTTATTATTTAATTGACAAATTCTCTTTTGTCACATTTTTTGCATCTTTTTTTTTACAAAAAAAAAAAATTCTCATTTAATATCTTTTTATTTACTCTCTAAGTTCCCAATATCAATAATTTTCTCCAAGCTAAAACTAATAATCATATCCATATCCAACAAATATTATCAATTGTAAAATATTGTATTAAACCAACTACAATAATTAAAAAAATTCTTTTATACACCATTATAATATTAATTAATCTCTAAAATAATCTCTATTATAATGCAATATCTAAACGATTCTAATTTTTTCCTCTTAAAAACAAAAAAAAAACATTAAATACAGAATGATAAATGATCCATCCAATGCCTTTCGCAATTAACCGATCACGAGGTCGCATAATTAATGCGACCAACACGTGGACACGAGCCGAGCAAAGCGTTTATGCTGCGTTTCAACCCTCGATTAAGTCGTAAATCTTCCACCCCTTTTCCACCCTTCAGGACGCGAAATTAAAAAGATACGATTTTTCAAACCGTTTCAAACAGGACGATAAAATATAGAAAAATATAATCGTCGTACAAGTGGAAATATTAATGCGACCCTTGGTCGAAGGGGTTGTTTCTTCGAACGTGTTCTGTTTTGTTAAGAAGGAAAGAATTATCGAAAAGGAATGAACGAGACTTGCATTGCTGTTGTTTCGTCCAATTTATGGATATTAATTGTTTTCTGTTTTAGAAAAGAAAGGATTGAACGAGTAATATACAAGTAACATGAATGTTTTTGCATACTAATTTTGAAGTGAAAATATGTACAGCATTGTATGAATAATTCTTTTCTTCTTTTTCTTTTTTTTAATGGAAGATCTCTTTGAGAGGGTGAAATCAACCCTTAAAGTTTCAGCTTTATCCTTCTTCTTTCATATTTTATCTGAAAATATTTTTTACAATATGATGCTGTCCTAAAATTTTATATTTCACTCTATCTTTGAGAGTTGATTTTTTTATAATATTGCACATAGAAGGAAAAGGATTATAATATCCATTATATGTTACAAAATTTCATTGAAAGATTACGTGGAATTCAAAGAAAATTCTTTAAGTCTAGAAAAATAAATAAATAAAAGGCAAAATAATTTGAAGTTAATTAACAACTGAAAATAAGGATAAACATTTCAGAAAATACTTCAGGTCAATTAAATAACTTAAATAAAAAAGATTTAATAAAATAGTTTCAAATAACTTGATTAATGAACGAATATAAGAACAATACAATTTATTATTAAATGTAATGAATTCGTAACTTGATCCAATATTTTTGTAATCAATTGTCGAGTATAAATAGAATTACAATCTCTTATGTATAAGAATAATTACCATTTAAATTGATAATACCTTAATTACTCCAATTATCTGTTTCACCATTTTAATTCCGGTTTAACAAGAATGCAAAAGGATAATAATATTCGTTGGAATTCGATAATCTGAGTTAAAGCAACGATGTTGTACGTATTATTATGCATCGGTTAATGATAATACACGAGAAATCGCGTGCCAGATTCGTGTGTAAAATATTTTCTCTATTTTGTTTTGTAACGATAAGTTAGAAATTAAAGCAATTCAACGAAAAATCGAAATATCAAATTTCTTTTTCTTTTCTCCTTCCTAACATTATCCTACGAATAATTTTTCATCAATTTTACAATTAAATTTTTAATTAATTAAATTCTTAATTACAATTAAAACAATTCAACGAAAAATCGAAATATCAAATTTCTTTTCTTTTCTCCTTCCTAACATTATCCTACGAATAATTTTTCAATTTTGTACTACCCTTTCCTTTCCTTTGATTTTCATTCAAATCTGAACAAATTTTTTTATCCAATAAAATTAATTTATTATCTATGGTAATTTCCTCAATGTATCATATTAAAATTATTATTTGAAAAATTACAAAATATCGATCATAAAATGCTAGTAATCATTATTTCACAAATTGAATTTAAATTGAATACACTTACGTGCTGCCTTGCAGACGGCCTTGATCTCCGATTCCAAGGGCCTCACAATTTTCTCTATAGGTGCGCCTGGTGGCCCTGATTTAATAGCACGCGCCAAAGCTGTGCAAGCTGACCAAAGAATCTGAGCGTTCGTTGCATCCTTTTCTTCCTCCATGCGAGCTGGAACCGATATAAGGAAGGAACAGTTTAAAAAAAGAAAATAACGAATAAAAAAAAAAAAAAAAAATCGTCGACTTTTATTGGCACACGAGCGTGAAAACTCGATCGATAAGTGTTCATCAAAGTTTCCTTTTTTCGCTGGAACAATTTCCATCTCGAGTAAAAATAATGATATACGAATAAATGCATAACGATGGCAATAATTGGATAAATTTTCTTAAAACGAAGATTCTATTTCCGAGAAGATCGGTTTTATATATAAATTCGTCCAAGTATGATTCACAATGTAATTCAATTTATTTGTGAGATATATAATATCTTTCTATCGTTTAACGATCTATCTTCGAAATTTCATTCAAGAATTTTTCCTTTTGAAAAGAAATGCACTACACGGAGTAAAATAGATTCTCGTCTAAAAGCGTTCGACTTCTCGCTCATCCATTTCTTATCCATGGTTCTTCCAAAGGAAAGATCAGAGGATCGTTAAATAATGGAGTCTCAAAGAAGCCTCGCCAAAGATTTCGACCAAAGTGAGACACGCATCGAATATGGAAGAAACATCGAAAAGAGTTTATGGATATATATATACATATATATAGATATATATATCGTTTAAAGAGGCCGGAAATTTTAGCTGGAAAGCGACTGATTCGATGTGCCTTTTAACGGGCGTCGAGCTTTTTAGTCGACAGCTTTTCAAACGTAATATCCTCTGAAGTATAATGTCTTCCGAAGTTGCGCGACAAGAGACTACGTCGAGATGTCGCGACGAGTATGTAAAATGAAGATTTTTGGGGTGATAAGAGGCAAACATGGACGTCGTCGTGAGTGGCGCTGCCAAGTGGCGATCGAGCGAGTGAATGAAGTACATTTTTGGCGATAAGTAATTTTGAACAGTTTGAAATAATATTTTTGAAAAATATATAAATAATAGGGGGAAGATAGGATAGATAAAAAATAATAAAGATTTCAATATTACATCTGTTTTAATTGAATATTGATCGAGTTGATTAATATATATAAACTTTCTATTTTTCTTTCTATTTTTTTCTCTTTTGCCAAGATAACCGTGAAACAAACTATTTCTGCTCCAAATACTGACTAGCTTCTATTCTCGTACAAAAAAAAAAAAAAAATTGCTTGTTATATTGCTCACAAAATAAAATAAAATATCATCGAATCATTTTTATAAAATACATTTTCTGACAAATCTAAATTATACCTGTCTATCATATTACCTCAATCACTTGAAAATCTAATAAAAATAAGATAAAATATTAAAAGAAAAAAATATCTGTTTATATAATAATTGAATCACAATTAAATCATTTTACACATTAGCTTGAAATCGTGCCATCATTTTGTGGAGGAGGAGAATAGGATTTCGATGATAGAGAGCAACGTAACATCATCCTCAGCCGGTGCTACTGACGGCGCAGCCGACGTTAGTGGAAAAATAAGGAAACGTTTGGCCCATAAATCAAGAAAAGGGTATAAAGCAGGAATCGAAGCGAAATAAATAACGGGGCAAGTTCGTCTCTCGATACAATAACTCGATTCTCGTAACCTTCGGGGATATAATCCAAACTTTGAGCTTCGAAAACTGGATGGAAATCGTTTCGTTATAGATCCTCTTGCGCGATTTGCTCGAAGAGTTTGACGATCGGTTTTATGGGAAAATGAAGTGGGAAGAGGAAACGCGTTAAAGTCTTAAAAATGGAAGAATTTTTTTGTAAATATTCGACGAATTTTTGATCAAAATATTTTAAAGAGTTTTTTTTTTTTTTCTATAATGAATAGTTTGGAATATTTGTTTATGGTATTTTAAAGTAAATTTGATGAATTATAAAAATTTGTAAAAATTATGTTTCATGGATTTTTGACAGAACATTTGTAAAATATTTTCGAAAAATTTTAATCGTTTAAAATAATAAATAAAATTTTCTTGTAACAGATCAAAGAAAAGAAGTTAAGATTAAATATTTTTCTTTTAACCTAGTTTTACCGAAATTTATCATTTCGGCTATAGGGGAGAAGAAGAAAATGGAACGCGTATAAAATATCAAATAGATTGGTCAATCAAGACTGTTTGACCGAGATCATGAATAATTAATTTAACCCTCTCGTTGCTGGTTTAATTACTTCAGTGATTAAAGCTTCGCTTATGAAACTCGATAGTTGGACATTCGATAGCCAGAATCAATTTTTAATTCGTATGATAGAATCGACTTTTAATTGAAAATTTTATCTTCGTTCCCTGCGTATCATATATCGTCGTCCATTAATAACAAAAATAATTAAACTATCCTAGCCTATTTCGATTGACGGTGTAAAAAGTATTTCATTATACGTGTATTTCATTATATATCAAATTTTGAATCGAATGAAGATTAAAAATTTTTAAACTGGAAGGATAAGATGAAAAAAAAAATAATCCAAAACTTCTCAATAATAATGTAAAATAAATAAATTCTAAATATTAAAAAAAGATATCTAATTGAAAAACTTTTAAAATTTAAAACATTTATATAAAAAAAAAGAATCCAAAACAACTTTTCTTTTTACCTTCCAAAAAAATCCAATGATCGATCCCTCTCTCCCTTCGAATTGAATTTCTCGAGCACAAGGTCACGATCGACCGCGAAAAGATCGATGAATCTCTCTCTCTCTCTTTCAATCGTGATTCGATCGCCTGAATATCGCGTCTCGAAAAGATGGCATGGTTGTCGAAAGGGGGAGGTTGAAGGCATTTCGCGTTTGGAAACGGGGTTACTTCGAAGTTATTCGAAGATTGACGCGTATAATAAATCAACCTGGTACAAGAGCACTTGATCCAGATAGATCTCGTTTTTCTTCGTGGCCGACATTAACGATAGGCTTGACCGGTAAAACAGCTTGCACGATTGGTCGATTTTGCAGTTCATCGAATCAGAGGTATGGAATTTCGAAGTTTCTGATTAAAATTCGGGAGAATAAATATTCTTTTGATGTTTTTCCTTTTTTTTTTTCCTTGTTGGAAAATTAAGAGGATAAATATACGGTTGACAATTCGTCGATTTATAATCGTATAATTTGAAATTAATCTCGTGATCGAATAATATCAATGATCACTGACAAGATAGATCTTTTTCATTTAATTTTTTTACAAATTAAACAAATTCTCATTGACGATTTCGTCTCTTCGCTTCGATTGTAACGATTAAATTCATCGATCGATTACATAGATTGCCTATTTATCGACGGATAATAAAGATAAAAAAATTTTAACCGATTTTAATCGGATTTTAATTGGAATCCGTATCGATACTTTACACGAGTTCACGGCGATTGTTTGTGCGAACTTTTTAAACGTTGGTCAGAGAATGAAGCGTGTTTCGCGCGATTGTTTCGCGATGTGTCCCCAGGGGATTCACGGATGATCGAAAAATTGCACGGGGTAAATTAAATTAGACGGCCGAATTTCACAGGTCGCTACCCTCCATCTCGAATGCACACTACGAAATCGCGCCAATCGTGTACAAATTGTTTTTCGAAAATGACACACACTACGAAATCTCTCGTTGATTGTTCAACTCGTTCCTTTTTTTAAAGTAAAATTTGAAACTTTGGAATTACGAAAATTGGAAATTTTGAAGATTCTGAAAATCAAATTAATTTTGAATTACAAGTAAGGATAATTTTGTCAAGCAAATTAAAGTTCCAGAGTTCTGCGTTGTCGATTTTTTTTAATGTCATATTTTAATCTAAAAAATATATTTATAAATGTAAGAACAAAATAATGTATTATATGTATAAACAAACAAAATAAAAAATAAAAATGATTAAATCTATTAATATATGAAAATTTTCTTCTAAAATAATTATCCAATTTTGTATAACACAATAACATAAATCATTCTATTTTCTTCGAGCAATTAAATATTTTTTAAAAAATTAAATGATACTCCATAAACCATCTTCCAACTTCTTTATATGAAAATTTTCTTCTAAAATAATTATCTAATTTTCTTTTAAAATAATTTTGTATAACACAATAACATAAATCATTCTATTTTCTTCGAGCAATTAAACATTTGTCAAAAAATAAATAAATAAATAAATGAATACTTTATAATGATCAAAAGATTAATAATACTTCATAAACCACCTTCCAACTGTTTTTCCTTCTTTGAATGCTCGAGTGAAATATTTCTCTCTCTCTCTTTTTTTATTACCACCATGAACCAACCCTTATCGTTTTCATTTCTATCAACTGCGACTCCCCTAGTCTGCTCGTTCCACGATATCTCTCGTCGACGCGTTACATCTTTTATTATCCCAACGAAATTAAACGTATTCTTTCCACCCAGAAAGAAACTTAGTGATCCGTTTAAGGTCGCTCTTTTACTACTTGATCTTGCTTTTATTATAGAGACTGTTCCGTAGACAGTTACGGGACAATTGAGTGAAATTTCATTCGAGTGAATCACGCGAATACACACCGTGATTCGAAATATATATACATATATAAAACATTTGTCATTTTTCAAATAATCGTTCAGCCGAAACGAGAGCTCTCGTTCGCAAAAACAAATCAAAAATTCGTGAGAAAATATATCGTCCGTCAAACATGTACAAACATCGTATAAAATCGGGAAGAAGGGGGCGGAGAACTCGGTCGTAACCCGATTATGATAAAAAGATGGCTGCCCTCCCCTAAACAAGAATCACCGGCTGGAACGATTTTTGAATCTGTTTTCTCTGGATATGTCGCCGCTGGGCGCTGGTTATTCCTCCCGCCCGAGCGAGCACGAGCCCATTCGAGTGGAACAGCCAAACGAAAAACCACCAGCCTTCGAGAGCCGTTCCGTAAAAAGGGCGAGATTACGTAATTATGCGGATGTTATCAGGGATTTGGAACGATTCGAGATGCCATCCCGCCTCGAAAGCAATTCGAAACATTCTCTTTCGAACTCTTCTGTCCTCGGATTAACCTAATTCTTCCTCATTTTCGAAAGTTT